GCATAGTGTACTGAGTTTGGAAAAGCCAACATAGTATTATGAGTTGGCACAAGCGAACATAGTGTTCTGACTTCAGACAAACTAATATAGTATTTTGACTTCGGACATGGTGTGTCTTCGGACAAGCGAACATAGTGTTTTGACTTCGGACAAGCAAATATAGTGTTGTGTTTTCGGACAAGCAAATAGTGTTGTGACTTCGGACAAGCATATATAGTGTTTTGTCTTCGGACAAGCGAACATAATGTTCTGCGTTCGGAGAAGCGAACATAGTGTTCTGACTTCAACCATGCGAACGGAGTATTCTGAATTCGGACAAACGAACATGGTGTTCTGACTTCGGACAAATGACCATAGTTTCCTGAATTCGGACAGCGAACATAGTGTTCTGCCTACCGACAAGCGAACATTTTGTGACTTCGGACAAGCAAATATAGTGTTCTGTTTCCGGACAAGCGTACATAATGTTCTGACTTTGAACAAGCGAACATAATGTACTGAGTTTGGAGAAGCCAACATAGTGTTCTGATTTCGGACAAACGGACATGGTGTTCTGACTTCAGACAAGCGGACATAGTGTTTTGACTTCGGACAAGCGAAAATACTGATCTGACTTCGGACAAGTGAACATGGGGTTGTGACTTCGGACAAGCAAACATAGTGTTCTGACCTTCAACACAAGTCAGATCGGACGAAGTTTAGAACTGATATGAAATATTTGTTTATGATAGATTTCAGCGAAAGGTGGGTAACTGTGTCGAGCCTGGTTCGCTTGAATGGGGGCAATCTTAATTTCCTTTTTCAAGTTCCCCTTAGTCATAACGCGGCGTTTTCATGTGGAGGCCTGCCGTTTAAGACAGATTCTTGTGTAAATTTCGTTACCGGCCTGTTCCCGGATTCTCCTTATGAACCAGTTCGACATCCCAACATCCCCAGTTTGTTTTGGCCTGCCCTTTTCATCTCGACTGGGTTAGTCTTTTGAAGATTTTACTGTCCATAATTTCGTTATCTTTCCTCATCGCTTAGAGAGAGAGGGAGGGGGAGACGGAGGGAGGGGTAGAGAGGGAGGGGAGGGAGAGGGATATCTTTCCTAAGGGAAGAGAGGAGGGAGAGGGAGAGAGAGAGAAGGAGAGAGAGGAAGCGAGAGGGAGAGAGAGTGAGAGAGAGAGAGAGAGAGAGAGAGAGCTTTTTGATTTTGTCGGAAGACACAATACGGCGCACATTCTTATTTTTGAAGAGTGGTCAGATGTTATTAAAATCATTTTTTTCAGTTTGCATTCGGGGTCCCACGTTATTTCATAATATTGATATAATTTATATATATATATATATATATATATTAGTATACACAATTATATTTATTGAAAATTTTACGTCATGAGGATTTTTTTTTATTTTGGTAGTTTCCCTGTGTGTGTGAGGTGTTTTGGTGCATGTAAGAGAAAATGTTTTAGGGGTTGATTGTTATGGTGAATGAGTAAAAATGGTAACCAATGAATGGGGCATGAATCTGATTAGCTAGAATACATGGTCGTCAGTAAAAGGATGAGCCTGAAATGGGATTTGCAGGTCGGGAACCCTAGAATCAAGCAGACGCGGAAGTTTAAATATCTGAAAAGCGTCTTGACAGAGGACCGTAAGTGCGACGTTGAGATCCGCAGACGTATTGGAATGGCCAAGGACGCATTCCAAAAGCCGGGCAGAGTATTGCGAGACAGGAGGATTTCTTTGATAACAAAGAAAAGAATACAGAACTGTTACGGGACATCTGTCCTTCTTTATGGCAGCGAATGTTGGACGATTTCCTCAAAGATGAAGAAGAGACTCGAGGCGACGGAGATGTGGTTCTACAGAAGGATGCGAAGGATATCATGGAGCGAGCGTGTGAGCAACGATGAGGTCTTAGAGAGGATGAAAACAAGGAGGAGGCTTATACATAACATCAGGAAGAGGCAGCGAATGTTGGACGATTTCCTCAAAGATGAAGAAGAGACTTGAGACGACGAAGATGTGGTTCTACAGGAGGATGCTAAGGATATCATGGACCAAGCGTGTGAGCAACGATGAAGTCTTAGAGAGGATGCAAACAAGGAGGAGGCTTATAATTAACATCAGGAAGAGGCAGCGAATGTTGGACGATTTCCTCAAAGATGAAGAAGAGACTCGAGGCGACGGAGATGTGGTTCTACAGAAGGATGCTAAGGATATCATGGACCAAGCGTGTGAGCAACGATGAGGTCTTAGAGAGGATGAAAACAAGGAGGAGGCTTATACATAACATCAGGAAGAGGCAGCGAATGTTGGACGATTTCCTCAAAGATGAAGAAGAGACTTGAGACTACGAAGATGTGGTTCTACAGGAGGATGCTAAGGATATCATGGACCAAGCGTGTGAGCAACGATGAGGTCTTAGAGAGGATGCAAACAAGGAGGAGGCGTATACTTAACATCAGGAAGAGGCAGATGAAGTTCCTGGGAGATATAATGAGGAAGGAGGGCCTGGAGAATCTGATACTCACGAGTCGAATAGAGAGAAAGAAAAACAAGGGAAAATAAAGCGTGACATAGCGGTCTTAGGCAAGTGGATGACAGAACGTGGTCTGAGGGAGGTGTCAGAGGCACAAAATTGAGAACTACATGGGATAGGGAGAAGTGGAGAGCTATGATCGCCTACGTCCTTGAAAGGACACGGCACATAGAACAATAAAAAAAGCGGGATTTAAGACAGAAGTGCATCGGTAAAGATAAAATTTCTTTTTGTCTTAATGATAATACTGATCAGTTCGATAAAGTCAAACGAGCAGCTGATTTCCAAAAAAAGTAAATTCAATAAACGCAACTGGAAATCGAACTTGCCTTTTCCAATTACTCGCACAGAGCCGCCATCCGCGACTCCACGACAACTTTAGTCGTATCAAAACAATATCGTTTTAAAATCTATCAGTATGGCTGTTGATTAGTTTGTTTTGCTTTGTTTTGTTTTACGGTATATCAACACCTCAATGGGTTATTTAATGCCGACAAGATTTTTAGGATAGGTTCGTATGAATAGAATATGTATTCTTTGGTTTAGATTGGTTTGGATTATTTTGTTTTAGGGCATATCAACCTCAATGGGTTATTTAATGCCGAGTAAAATTTTAGGATAGAATCGTATAAATCGAATATGTATTCTTTGTAAGAAATCAGTTTATAGATCAGGTTTTGTTTATTTTGTTTTACAGCATATCAACCTCAATGAGTTATTTAATGCCGACATGATTTTTTAGTATAGGTTCGTATGAATAGAATATGTATTTTTGTAAGAAATCATCTTATAGATCATGTTTGGTTTATTTTGTTTTACGGTACATCAACACCTCAATGGGTTAT